CAGCCCTGAGAAGGAAGAATAACGCAGGGGGAATTATGCTCCCCAACTTCAAGCTCTACTACAAAGCCACAGTAATCAAGACAATTTGGTACTGGCACAAGAACAGACCCATAGACCCATGGAACAGACTAGAGAGCCCTGATATAAACCTGACCATATATGGTCAATTAATATATGATAAAGGAGCCATGGACATACAATGGGGAAACGGCAGACTCTTCAACAGCTGCTATTGGCAAAATTGGACAGCTACATGCAAGAGAATGAAACTGGATTATTGTTTAACCCCATACACAAAAGTAAACTCGAAATGGATTAAAGACTTGAATGTAAGTCATGAAACCATAAAACTCTTAGAAGATAACATAGGCAAACATCTCCTGAATATAAGCATGAGCAACTTCTTCCTGAACCCATCTCCTCGAGAAAGGTAAACAAAAGCAAAAATGAACTCATGGGACTACATCAAACTAAAAAGTTTTTGTATGGCAAAGGATATCACCAACAAAACAAAAAGGCATCCTACAGTATGGGAGAATATATTTGTAAATGCCATATCCGACAAGGGGTTGACATCCAAAATATATAAAGAACTTACACACCTTGGCACCCAAAGAGCAAATTACCCGATTAACAAATAGGCAGAGGATATGAAGAGACAGTTCTCCAAAGAGGAAATTCGGATGGCCAACAGACACGTGAAAAGATGCTCCACATCACTAATCATCAGGGAAATGCAAATTAAAACCACAATGAGATATCACCTCACACCAGTAAGGATGGCCAGCATCAAAAAGACTAAGAACAACAAATGTTGGCAAGGATGCAGAGAAAGGGGAACCCTCTTACACTGCTGGTGGGAATGTAAGCTAGTTCAACCATTATGGAAAGCAATATGGAGGTTTCTCAGAAAACTAAAAATTGAAATACCTTTTGACTCCGTAATTGCACTCCTTGGAATATACCCAAAGAATACAACTTCTCAGATTCAAAAAGACATATGCACCCCTATGTTCATTGCAGCACTTTTTACAATAGCCAAGATATGGAACAACCTAAGTGTCCATCTGTAGATGAATGGATAAAGAAGATGTGGTACATATACAATGGAATATTATTCAGCCATAAGAAAGAAACAAATCCTACCATTTGCAACAACATGGATGGAGCTGGAGGACATTATGTTCAGTGAAATAAGCCAGGCAGAGAAAGACAAATGCCAAATGATTTCCCTCATTTGTGGAGTATAACAATGAGGCAAAACTGAAGGAACAAATGGCAGCAGACTCAGAGACTCCAAGAATGAACTAGTGATTACCAAAGGGAAGGGGTTGGGGGGAGCGGGTGGGGAGGGAGGGAGAAGGAGACTGAGGGGTATTATGTTTAGTACACATGGTGTGGGTGAGCACGGGGAGAACAGTGTATCACAGAGAAGGGACATAGTGGATCTCTAGCAACTTGCTGCACTGATGGACAGTGACTGCATTGGAGTATGAGTGGGGACTTGATAATATGGGTGAATGTAGTAATCATATTTTTTTTTCATGTGAAACCTTCATAAGAGTGTATATCTATCATACCTTAAAAAAAAAAAAAAAGAGCCACAAGGGCTATCTATTTTTAAGAAAGTCAAAGTATTTTAACACTGATTTTTCTAAATAAGACATATTGATTCTGTTCCCTTTTCTCAGATTCACGTGTTCAAATACCAGAAAAAAACACACAGTAAGCTATTTACATTTTATTACAAAGGGACCTTAGGTCAGTACTATATTATATATCATAATATAAACAATATCTTTGATAAAGAGAAAATAACATCACTTATAAAAATAAGAATTTTGTTCAGTGGGCTTCAGATGGTTGAAGGAATATTATACAGCCCTATGGAAAACAATATGAAGGTTCCTCAAGAAATTAAAAATAGAGTTACCATATGATCCAGCAATCCCATTTCTGGGTATGTATCCGAAGGAAATGAAACCATTATCTCAAAGAGATAGCTGTACTCCCCATGTTCATTGAAATATTATTTACAACAGCCAAGGTATAGAAACAACCAAAGTGTGCCTGTCAATGAATGAATGTATAAAGAAAATGTGGTGTACACACACACACACACACACACACACACAGTGGAATATTATCAGCCATTAAAAGGAAAGAAAATCCTACCAGTTGCAACATGGATAAACTTGGAGGACATTATGCCAAGTGAGGTAAGCCAGAGAAAGATAAATACTGCATGTTATCACTTTTAGTAGAATCTAAAAAAAATAATCAAACTCGTAGAAAGAGAGTAGAATGGTGATTTCCACGGGCTGGGAAGTGGGGGAAATGGAGATGGTAAAAGGATACAAACTTTCAGCTATATGATAAATAAGGTCTGAGACCAAATGTGCAACATGGTGACTAGAGTCAATGACAGTGTATTACATAACTGAAATATGCTAAGGGTACAATTTAAGTATTGTTACTCCTCCCAAAAGTAAATACGTAATGTGATGGATGTTAATTAACTCAATTGTAGGAATCCTTTAACAATATATACCTTTATAAATTCATCACACTGCACACTTTAAAATTTTTGCTTGTCAATTATACCTGAAAATATTAGCTGGAACAAAAAAAGTTATTTTACCTACACTAATAAAAAGATGCTATTAACTTATAATATTCAGGGCCAGCAGAGGTCCCTACACACACTGAGGAAAGGGCAAATCCTGTTTATATACAAGTCTAATACTTGTATACTTGGAGGAGATTTTACTTGGAATGACCTAAACCTGAGCTATTTAAAGATATTTCTGAAGATGAACTATATTAACTACAAAAGAGCACACTGATTTTTAAAGGCCAGATTTCAGCAGAATATGGCTGTATAATGTAATTCTACACGTTAAAATAGTAACTGCCTACCAAAACAAAGAACTGTCAAAATTCAAGCATTGAAAGCAAAACTGCAATGTCTAAATCTCAAAAATGGGGTCACTACAACTTCATTACAAGTTCCAGCCCACCTGATCTCACTTTCACCATAAGCTTATACATGACCACAACTTATTTGTCAATTATTATACTGGTATGATTTTTCAAATTCAAGATCACATAAAAAATTATTTTAGAAGAACTCCACGGTTTTGGTATTTTTAGTGTCTAGCTTCCCAGTTGAGTGATTTCCTATAGTAATGTTATACTGAGTGACAAAATAGCTTTATAGTCTTGTAATGTCTGTCTGTCTTAATAAACACATGCTTTCAAGAAGGCAAACTATCGCACTTCACATGGGCTCTACCAAAACAGTCAATAGCAAGTAACATAACAGTACCAGTAACATAATCCAATTAGTTTCAAGTTTAAGGTCAGGTCCCATTTCCTTAGCCCTCCATTATATATACAGGACTACTTAGAAATTCATAGGCAAACACAAAAGACATACATTTTTTTTAAGTCTATTTAAGTCTATGTAAGTCTAACTCCAACTACCATTTATAATAGTCAAGTCTTTAGGACTACCATATTTAAACTTTAAGGTTTAAAATGAATTTAAGTGATTTTGTTTGCTTGTTTTGTTGTGAAGAGATTTGTTCTCAAAATACCTGCTTTGCAGCTTTCTTAGCTTCATGCTTCCTTTGATTTTTAAGAGCTGTTTTTGACAACGGCTTATCAGTTCCTGGTTGTGGTTTCATATTCTGAGGTAGTTCTTCCTCATGCTACGGAAAATGTAAAATAAGCAATTCTGAAATGGAGTTCATGCTTTTAAAAACATACACAACATACACAATAAGTAATACAATGTTGCTAGAATGGGATAAACTTATTTTACAAATTTATTTTAAGATCATTGGCAAAGAATATTTTAAAGCTTTCATTAATAGGTACACTCCCAACTGTCAGGGTGGATTTAATGAAGATCTTTCTATTAGGTGATATATGATATCTTTCAGTTATATAAGAACTGGCAAAATTTCACTTCAGTTCTGTTTAAACAATGGAATTTTTCCTTGTACTACTACTGATACATGACCCTTACGAAATTAGATATCAGCAATTGCTTCTGCAGTTTTTTGGATCTGACTACTGCCAACAGAAACCCAGTTGCCTCATTTGTTTTCTTTGTAGAATGAATTACTCGCTAGGTCTTTACTTGCAAAATCAGAGACTAGAAGATTAAAAATAAAAACAAATGGGAAAACTAGACAATTAAAAAAAGCCAAATAGGGAAATATGTGGTAACTTCACAATCACAAATCCAATATTAACATAATTAAAGAGGCTTACAAAAAACTGACTTGTCAGATTATACAATGAAAGAGGAGACAATCAATTCCATCATCAGATAACTTATATAACCTTATATAACCATCTATCAACTATATTCCACAATAGAAAAAGGTGAATTAAGGATAGGATCAAGGATATAATATAAAACATGGTGATTATAGTTGTTGACACTGTATCGTATAATTGAAATTTGCTAAGCAAGAACTTAAATGTTCTCACCAAAAAAAAAGTGAGGTGATAGACATATTAATTAGATGGGAAGAATCCTTTTACAGTATATACATACATCAAATCACCATGGTGTATACTTTCAATATTGTATAATTTTGCATGTCAATTATGCTTCAATAAAGCTAAAAATATGAAAAAAATATATACATATATGTAGGTTCAAGTTATCTTCAGAGTAGCTTATGATTACATATAAGCGATAGCACTACAACTTATCAGATTCATCTCCTAATTGCTTTCTCTCTATATTGCTATTATCTTATTAGTGTTAACTGTTTCTTAAAATCTAACATACTCTCAGCACATCAAAAGGACTAGATCTCCATCAAGTTCCTTGAACTAGATCTCCGATCAATGCTGTAAGTACTGTAAGGAGATGGGCAGGGCTCAAACATTTAAGAAACAGAAGAATAAATAAGAAACCACAAAGTGACTTTATCTTAGCAGCTGCATTAATGATTTCAGGTCATCAAAGTTTTGTGTGTGTACATGCCCTTTTTGAAGCCTGAATATATGAGAACCCATATTCATAGAACATCTTGGATAGCAAGCCTTTTTCTTTTTTATCCCCACTGTATATAACATTAGTTAAGATACACTAATATTTGCTGAACATTAGTTTTATACATCGGAATTCTTTCAGTAATGGGCCTGACTCACTGCCTTGCTTTGACTGAAAAAGTTTCTACTCATGAGAACTTCAAAATATGACAAAGCAATTAAAAATGACACAACAAAAAAAGAAATCAGTTATAAGTCTTTGCACACTATGAGCATCATTGTAGCCACTGACAGACTTTCTCTTTCGATAAAAAAAATCCACACAGTGACTATGGATCATGAAATTTTCTGGCTTGAGCACTAAGTGCCCATTATATACAAGTTCATCCTTATTAACACAATTTTTTCTTCAGTTATATCAATTATGGGACTGTTTTGATGAAGATTATGAAATTGAAGGTTTTTTGGAAAGCCAAGAAATACTTCTGTAAGCTAATTTATATATAAATTTTTATTCATAATAAAGCAATTTTTCTCTTTGGGGGAAGAATCCCAACACTTTTGTTTTCCTTCTGCTATGTCATCTTCTGCCTTATGAAGTGCTGACTAGATTGTCTTTGCTTCTAGTAATTTCTTGACCATATTTTCCTTGCCATTTTGCTCATTTCTGGAATTTGATACAAAAAAAAATTTACTACTGGGCATATGTTCCTTTAAGTAAAATGATTTGATAGGATCACATAAAAAATGCAGAAATTAGTGGAAATCTTAAATGTTAATTTTCATCTTAAAATGTTCTTACCTGGCTTTATCACTATTTTCAAAGTATTTCTATATTAATTTCTTTCCCTCTCCCACCAAAACAAACTAGTTTTATGAATAAGAGAATAAGAATACACACTAAGTCAGAATGTCTTCACTTTGTGTTATCTTACAGATTAAGAAATCAGGATAGACTGAGGTTAATTTTGTTTTTATCTTAGATAAGGAAAATGTCTTAGGTAAGACAAATCCAAAGATTTTTATGCCCTTTCTTTTTTGATCAAAATACAAATACCATAAGTAGGGCTTAATTAGCTATACAGCTTTTCAATATATTTTTGCTAAATAACTTAGTACAACAAAAATGCTTTAACAGAACATTTCAATGAAGTCAAGAAGTTACAGATCACTGGGAGGGGGAAAGGTTGTTCTTTTGTTTTTGAAAGGGTTAACAGTGGCACAAGGGAGGTATAGGAATATTTATTCTTTGAAAAATATTTACTTTCCTGAGAGCCTAATAATTAAGTGATTATATAACTCCCTTTACTTGGAACAGTCCCAGTTCACCCCTATTGTATGGTAATCTTTCTAAAAATACCAACAATACTGTTGTTCATTCTTACAGAGTACCTTTACTCCTTAACATTGTCACAGAAAATCGTGTCATTAATAAATGCTTTCCCTTGAGCTCTGAAAGACTACCACTTTAAAGCAGGTTGGAATCTGACCAATACTCTGGTTATAACTTTACAAAAGAGGTGGGGACTGATGGCCTAAGGACAACAAATGTGTTTTGTTTGACTGAGAGTGTTTTAAAAACAGAAATTTCACCTAAGTATCCAACCTATTTTGTCTTGAAAAATCAAACACTTCGAAAATAGGGCCTAAAATCCCCTATAGAAACAATCAGCTACTACTGTGTAGTTGCCACAGCCTTTAAAGGGGGCATGAGCTTTCCCTTGCAGCCTTCTCTGCCAGTCACCATTGCCTTGTATTACCAACCTAGCCTGACAGGCACCTGAATTTGAGCCCATGATCTCCACAGTCAACATGCCATACTCAGGTATTATTCCCAGAAATGTAAAATGTAAATTGTTTAAAATTAACTACTTCATCAATTTAACAGTATGAGCTATTCACCATCTTCAAAAGTAGGCCCTCCATGATTTCTAACCTAGAATTTATATTCTTAACAGGTACTAAGTAACACAAGAACACGCATGAGAAAAAGATCTAGAAAACTGCACATACTGAGAAACCTTTTCCTACTAAAGTAGTAAAGTTTTACTTACCAGTTTGGAATTGGTGATTGGTTTATTTCTTAAAGCTGGGGGTCTATAAGCTGTTGCAACTTTAGGTTCTTCACTGGGCACATCACTTGGAACTGCTTGATAAGTTATTGTTTTTGCTGGAAATATTCCATCTAAGACTGGTTGCCAAGAAACCTGCCATAATTCTGCATCTGATGGCACCTCATACTTGTGTAAGACTGAGCCAGTGTAATGCCAAATCTTGTATCCATTGTTAACACGTAACCTGGGAGCACACGTAGCTGTTAAAATATGCTCACCATCTGGGCACCACGCGAAGTAAGTAGAATCAGAGGCCACTGGTTTAGAAATAAGTTTGTAGTTTTTAACATCCCATACTTCCATTTGTCCTCTCAGATTTCCAAATCCAGCTAGTACTAATATATGTCCATGAGGGCTATAATAGGCTGCATTACGAGGACCAGTTCCAAAGTCAAACACAGGATCACATTTCAAGTTAAAAACTGTCGCTTTGGCAGGCATAAAACCATAAACAGCACAAAACTCAGTAGAACTAGAATTCCAAACTACATCATAAATGGGGCCATGTTTTGCTAGAAAAAAATATAAAAACCAAATTAGCAAAAATATAAAAATATAATATTTATTAGCACAAGTTATAATCATATTACACTCATAAACATGTTACAGCAAAAATGTAAAAATCTCAAGGTATGTTAACATTAAAATAGTTCCACATGTCTACGGGGATTATTTAAGAACGCCTAAAGAATCTCAATTTCTTTTAAACGTTTTGACAATATGGGCTCATAGAAGCATAGGATATTATTAACAAAATATATTTTTTTAAATTAAAGTATCACTGATATACAATCTTATGATTTCAAATACACAACACAGTGGTTCAACATTCACCCATATTATCAAGTCCCCACCCCATCTCTTATGGTCACTTTCTATCAACACAGTAAAATGTTATAGAGTTATTAACTGTATTCTCCAAGCTGTACTGCCATCCCTGTGACCTACCTATACTGTGATTGCAAATTATAGTGCCCCTTAATTCCCTTCTCATTCCCTGTCCACTCTACCCAACCCTACCCCTTTGGTAACCACTAGTCCCTTCCTGGTGTCTTATGAGTTTGCTGTTATTTTGTTCCCTCTGATGAACTAGTTTTTATTGGAAGACATGATATATGTACAAAGTAAAAGAATATAAACCATATAAAAGACATGCCACAAAAGTAAGTCTCTCTACACAAAGACACTCCTCTGTTACGTTTCTTTTCAGGATCTTTTTGTTGAAATTAAACATCTCTTAAATATATACACACAAAAAAACCCCCAAAGTTCTCAACTTTTGTTGTTTCAATTATACTTTGCCTTTAAGAATTTTCCATATAAACCATTAACATCTCATTCTTTTTGGTTGCACTGTGTTCCATTACAAATCTTGTTATGTATTCTCCACTGTCAATGCACATAAAACACATCTATAGGAATGAAACTCTCCGGTCAGAGGGCACATACATTTACTTCATAATATAGCACCAAAATGCCCTTCAAAGAAATTGCACCAATTTATGCTATCAGTAGTTTTTGATATGAAGATTTTTTTCTCATTCTGTGTACTTTAGTATTTTTATCTTTGCCAACCAACTAAGTGAAAAGTTGTATCTTGTTTTCCTATTTCTTTTATTATAAACTAAGCAACCTTTTAATATATTTAGATATGATTTAATTTTTTTTTATGTGGACTTTTTTTACTGTTCCATGCCTATTTTTCTCTCCAGTTACTGGTCTTTTATTAATTTACTTGATAGAGTAACAAAATTCACCTTTCTTGTACTCATCCTTTGTAAAAATTTTCTGCCAGTTTTTTAATTTATGAACTTTCTTACCCCAATGTAGGAATCCATACTTTAAATATATTCGAATGTCATTTTTCCCTTATGACATCTGCCTTGTTCAGAAAGTCCTTTTGTATTTTAAAATTAGAAAAAAAATTCTCCCATATTTTTGTCTAGTTCTATAGTTTAAGGTATAATTTTTTGGCTCAACTAGAATTTATTGTGGTGAAGAGGTAGTAACGTTAACTTTTTGCTCTAAATAGCTAGCCAGTTGTCCCCATTTATTAAATAGTATCTTCCCCCAGTGATTTAAAAACAGACTTTATCAATGGCCATAGACATATGGACCTGTTTCTGGATTTTGCCCTGTTCTACTGATTTATCTGTCTATCCATAAACCAGAACCAAAACTGTCTTAATTACATTTACTTTACATTTTAATATCTTCTATTATCAGATTTATCCCTGCCTTCTCTTCTTTCACAATATTTTCAAAACATTTTTGCATGTTTATTTTTCAAAATCAATTTGAGGACCAATTTGAGGGCAGTTAAAAAAAAAACTATTGGCATTTTTATTTAATTATTAGATCAATTTGGAGAGAAATGGTATCACTATACAATTTTTATTAAAGGTCATAGTTTGTCCTTTAGAAATTACAGGGTTTTCTTCCCATCGGTCCTAAATATTTCTCATTGATTGTTGCTATATATGGAAACTTTCCTTCCATTATGTTTTCTAAGTGGCTGTTTATACTATGACTTCATCTGTATGAGAAGAGATGACTGTTTACTCCTTTCAAAATTATATACTTACTCTTTGATCAGTTACACTGACTGGGTCCTTCAGAATGTTAAATGGTGGAAAGGGGAGTCATCCTTGTTCTCTTTCTGACTTCAATAGGAATATATAATCTTTTTGAAGGAAGGTTACCTTACTTTTACATGTACAACTCAAAATGAAAAAATTAGGAAGTTGCCAGAATTTCTACATTGTATTGTTTTACAGTTAATTTAGCCCATCAAAAGAAAAGATGAAATGGTAACATTCTTCAGTTCTGAAGATAGTGTTAAACTCACTAGATTAACTTACTGCTGTAGTAACTTAAGTACGTACCAAAAGGGCTAGTACAATGCAATCACCTCACAGCAAGTTCCCTACTGAAGTGCCAGCATAATGAAACTAGCTAATTAGATTCTGTCAAAATAAGGTATGTTTGGAGGATGATGTCATTAATTGAGAGGAATTTTACCTTAAAGGCTAATATATGAGTTTTATCACTCGATCAAGAATTTAGATTTTATCATTTTTATGGCACAGTATTTTTTACTATCACCGTTTTGATCATGGGAAGGCTTCTGGGATACTCACGTAATTGCACTACAGCACTTTCTCCATTTGTTGCAATGTAGTGCAGCGTTTGTTCCCCGTAGTAGGAGGCTCCTGTCTTGTCAACATCCGTACTAGCTATTACCAGCATAGCAGTAGCTATAACAGTAAAATCCTTAATTAGATTTAAAACACAAATTAATCCAATGGTGATTAACAAAATATTAAAATTGTAACAGAGTACATGTAAATTTTCATTAAGAGCTGACACTTTTTTTCCTATAAACACAGGAAAGTCTACATTAATACTTGATCAATAAAATAAGATATATTTACCATACCTTTTTTATTCCATAACATAGTAACCTTATCAGCCTTAAAGAAACTTTTATTGGCTAAAGCTGCATGAGGTCCATCAAAGTTGGGGTACTGATACAATCTAACAAAAGAAGGTGCACCCTTACTTCCTGGAACATAGACAGCCACCTAGGATACACAGACAAAAATCATTAAATCTTTGAGGCATATAAACTAAGACAGACACATTTTTATAGTCATTTAACACTGGGAAAACACTTTATCTCATAACATTCCACAGGAACAAACAAAAAAACAGCAATTACCTTGTATGGCTGGGGTCCAGGTGATAACACAAAATCATCAATTTTTTGCAAACGCAATTTATTTGCAATTGTGTCTAAAAAAAAAAAGTAAATAGTGTTACACTGATGAGAGAAGTGAACAGGAATAAGTTAGATTCTGAATGCATTATAAAAGTTTAATGTAACTATCCACTAATTCTGCTCATTGTAGTCTCATATAGGTAAGACAGAGCAACACAGCAGAAAAAGTATGCAATGGGAGCAAGATAGACCTATACCTGAATTCTTACTCAGTCACTTACTGGCTATATGAACCTTGGGGAAATAATGGGATTATACACCTAACTCCCAATGATTGATCTCAAGAGCACAGTACCAGGCACATATAGGTATTCAATGAATGTCAATTCCCTTCTCTTCAACCTCTGGAATAAAACAGTCATTAGAAAATGACTCTAGCCTACTGTTGTAGAATGTGGAAATGGAAATTATATACTAATGTTAATAAACAGACCCATGATAATGATCGCAACAATGACTATTTATTGAATACTCACTGTGTACTTTGCAGTCAGAACCCATGTTATGAATAATACTGCTCCCCTACTTAAGGGATCAAGAGCTATTCATCTTTCTTTAAGTTCAAAGCTTAAAGTAGCATACCAAACTGAAAAACTGTGAGCCTCCTCTGACATGCTCAGAAAGAGGCAAGTAAGCAAACAAGCTAACTCAAAATCAATGGGGAAAATGAAGTCATTGCTAATGACTATATGGATGGTGCTCAAAATCAGCCTGTGTGTCATTTTTGGTACCTGTGAACAGAGTTACCAATTCTTATTCTACTTTAATACACTCAAAATTAAAGTACAGTCACCAATGGAATACTCTAAGAATAAAAGGAACTACAAAACTTTTTTCTTTATTTTCAGTAATCATGTTACTGTTGGTACTGCTATTCTAAGACTACTATGTAGCTAATAAAGAATGAAGCAAATGAGTATGTATGTGAATATGGTATTTTCAAACTATTATTCTTGGTATCCCAGAGAAGCAGGAGTTTTAGTGTTAGCAAAAGGCAATATAGATATAAGATAAAAATGAAAAAGAAAAAAAACACCTAGAAACAAGATCAACACTGTAGCAATGAGGACCCTCTACACTCAGATTGGGGTCTCTGAATACCATGTGCCACTAAAAGGAACCAGAGTATCTCGGACAATTGGCTGATTCTAGATGTACAGCAAGCAATATACAAGATAATCCTAGAATGGCATGTCTTACACATAGTAAAGAAATTAAGGACTAATTGACCAAAGATGTGCCAATTGGAAAACAATAAGAACAGTAATTGAAATGGACTGAAACACATCATATAGGTTTGAATCTGTAGTTCATAAGGAACTGGTTGCAATGGAGATTGTAAGACAAAGAACTCATTATAGTAAAAATGATAAAGGGAAAGAATATTTATCTTGCTTTTCCTATATAAATGGTAGTACTAGGTAATTAAATAGTAGATGAAGCATTTCCCTTTACAGAAGTAGTATAGCTATTTAATGGGGGAAGAGAAGTTGGGGGGTGGGGTTAGAAAATCACCAATTTGCATCTACACATGAAATAATGGATCTAGGCATTGAACATTAATGTCAGCTAACCCTACAAGACTGAAGACAGGAAGACACTATGTGCTTATTGATAAAAGAATCAAACACTGCCTTATGATGTAGTCTTGCTCTCATTTCCAGCTCCCTCCCCCCAAAGAAGAACCTGACCAACTCTAGATCCAAATAGCAGGGAAAGATGAGCATGTTAAATTACAGAGTAAGATACAGTAGCAAAAATCAAACTATGGGAAAATATATAAGACAAGTAACCTTGTTTCTTAAATATAAATTGTAAAGGGGGAAAAAAGAAATAGTGAGAGAACCAACAGCTTAAAAGAAATTTAAAAGATTTATCAATTGCAATGTGAGAGACCTTATTTGGCTCTTGAGTTTTTAAAAAATGATAACATTTGCAATTATTAGAAATTTGAACACTGACCAGGTATTTTATAGTCTGTGATAATGGTATTGTGGCTAAGTTTAAAAAATTAAGAGCCCTATCATTCAGGGACATATACTGAAAAATGTACAAGTAAAAGTGTATGATGTCTAGGATTTGCTTTAGCAGAATTAGAGAGATGGTAGGTGGACAGATGTATGAATGAGGTAGAATTGGCAATGGACGGAAGGCTATTGGGATTAAGTCTCTAGTGTTTGAAATTCTACACAATTAAACATTAAAAAATTTATATTACAGAATTTAAATAGCAACTAAACTCAGAAGAGGTATTCAAATGTCTTAACAGCAATTATTAGATAATAAAGTTATTGTAGAAGAAAATCATTGTTACAGAATTTCACTAGCATTTAGACTATTATAGTTATTCAAATAAAGTAATGTAAGAGCAATTATTGATTAATATATTAACTATTTAGGAGAATCCAATGATGCCATATAAAGCAATAAAAACCTTACACATTTATAGTAAATAATAAAAATATTTCATAAATCTTTCCATACTAAAATTGTTGTTTTCAAAGAAGTGAACTTCATTGTTAACATTTCGGGCACAAATGATTTCATTTTCTGACCAGCATGGACACCTACGTGAAAAGAAGGAATATAAAAAAACTTAGAATGCAACAACACGTTAACATGTTATAGTTTGTGATATTGCTTACTATTTAAGGGAAAATAATAAGTATGATGTCAAGTCAGTTACTAATAGTATTGGCCAGCATTTGTAACAGAAAAATGCTGTTCATTTTCATTTTAATACAAAGCAAAGGAAAGATCAAATTTTTACTCCATTACATTTCTATATCAAAGATCTAGATTTTGGTCTGACAAGTTATTTCCTCAATGAATACCAGACAAATAAATATTATATAATAAAGATATTTAAAATGTTTTGTAAGTCATTAATATTTTAAAGCATTTATTTACCAATTTTGCATTTTTTTCTGGATGAAAGATTTCAAACATGTCCCAGTTTTCACATCATAAAGTTGTAGGTTGGGTATCCCAGCTGTGCCATCTTTAGAAGCTGCAATAAAATTTTTTGCAGTAATTGTTTCTGAACATGAGTAAAGAGATTCTATTATTATATTCTTAGAAAAAAACTGAACAAGATTATAACGATCAAATAAAAGAGTTGCTTTAAATCGAAGTTTCCCTCCAGCTTTAATTACGGATTTAATCATCTGCTCCTAAAGATATGACAATCTGACAGCTACTTGCATAAAAGTTCAGCATTTCTGAAATGAGTTAATTACTACAGATGTTAAGAATACTCAAGAGATTTCTTACTAGGTTTGACATGACTCAACTGCCTTTTTATGAAAACTTGTGTCTGCAAGTCACATACACACAAAAAGTTATATAAAACTACTCATGATTCTTAACTGATTGTCCATTTCCCTTTTATAAACTTGGAAAGATTTATTAGAGTTCATGTCTCCTGGAAGAACAAACCAGGAGGTTAATAACCCAATAATGAACTATCACTATGTATTTACTCAGTAATACTCACATTATTTTTAAAAAATTCTTACTAAGGTGTCATTGATATACTCTCTTATAAAGGTTTCACATGAAAAAGTGTGGTTACTACATTCACCCATATTATCAAGTCCCCCTATACCCCACTGAAGTCACTGTCCATCAGTGTAGTAAGATGTCTTCTCTGTGCTACACTGTCTTCCCCCATGACCCACCCCCCACCATGTGTACTAATCATAATACCCCTCAATCCCCCTTCTCCCTCCCTCCCCACCTCTCATTGGTAGTCCCTTCCTGGAATACGCACATTATTAAAAAATGTTTACTGTACTTCCTTCTTTTATTTAGAATGACTATTTATTTTTCATTTTAAAAGTTATTATTATTCTTAATTCTCTATTCAGTGGTTATTTACTTTCTAAATTTTCCCCTGAACTTCTTCTTTTCCTCTATCGCATAATGAATCTTTTCACTAATTCATTATACCTTGAAATTACTTAAGTACATTGTATTTGTGGAACACAAGATTCACTGTTGATTAAAGCTATTCATAAACACTGTTTATTATCATAAAGATTAATTACTTTCTTATAAGGTTATAAACCTTCTCTTTTTTTCCTACTGAATTGAGTAGGACCTGCCAGAATATTTTTACAATTGGAAAATACTTACTAGTGTAAGGCTGCCATGTTGCCAGGAAAGTGCTTTTTGGTGAGAACTCAAGGAAGACTGCCTTTGGAAGGTCGAAGGGGTGCAGCAGTCCCTTGTTAGTGACATTGATAATATTTACTCTGGTTTCAAAAGAAATTACTTCAGCAATGAAATACTGTTTTACAACAGCCAGTTGTATCCAAAACATTCATACCTCTTTTCAAATGCAGATCACACTAAAGTGTTCATTTTTCATAAAAATCAATTTTCAGTTAGTTCTAGAAATACACAATAAACACCTTATCTAGAAAAGTTATACATTTTACCAAAAGGTCCCTATATAATAAGGGTGGTGATGGGAAATAATATGGGATTAGCAGAAAGATAAAATAGATTCCACTTTCAGCTGAAAAGGAAACAGGCCTTTAAGTAGACATAGAGCTAATGTACAGACAAGCTGAGGTATATTAAACCAAAGGGAAAACAGGTGATAAGCAAAACTGTATTTTTTAATTTGAGTAAATGGAAGCTATATCAGCTGGGGGAATCATCAAGGAAACTTTTGATATCTATTAAAATGTCAGAAGTAATCTTCAAAAGATAGGACTGTAAGAATTATTGTGGTATAATAATGACAAAAATTATAATAATGGCTTAATAAAAGCAGTTTCCATTTTTTTGGATGCTTGTACCATGTTCTATTCTAACCACTGTATGTCCATTTTCTCATTTAATCCTCACAATAGTCTTATAAGATAGGTATTGCCATCTCCATTTTACAAATGGTGAAAGTGAGGCTTAGAAAAATTAAATGATTTGATGATTTGCTCAAGATCATAATACTGATAAATGCTAGTTTTAAAAAAGCTTTAAAAACAGTTTGAACTGACTTGCTCTTATATATTCTTTGGAGTAAAAAAAAAGAAAAAAATGATACTCCATCTTAAGCCAGACATTGCTTGAAGTCACTCTACTCAAGTTTGAGAACACTGGGTTAGGGTAAGCAGAAATTGCTAAGACTGAACGATTACTGCATATTGTTTAAATACACACACACACACACACACACACACACACAAACACATTAGATTCTTTACAACTTACTGCATATTACATACTTAGAATTACATGAAGCTTTCATTTTTGTTGTTAATCTTTAGTAGTTATTTTTAGTTTAATGAAGGGTGTTCAATTAAAAAACATACTTAAGGAAAAATCAATTATAGTTTCTAATTAGTTACCATGAGCTCAGCAAAGACTACAATCAATACACTGTATCTGTTTCTTTTGCCCTAGGAACATTATATATTGTTGTGGCCACAGAACTTTAAGGAAATAAATGCTAGAACCAGGTATAGAAAATATCTATTAAAAAAACTGACACAACACATGCAGATACATTAAAAGGATTCAGAGCTGAACCCAACAGAAAACCAGGTGGGAATATGAATGAAGTGTATAAAATAATTAGTAATTGCCAAGGTGAACACAGACTTACTCAACAAGCTCTAAGCCAGTAGAATAAGGGATACCTCAAAAAGATAATAGACAATGAAAAGAAGCATGGTATTTCCCATTATAGTAAATTTCTATTAATTCATTGCTCAAAAGGTATAAACTAAAATATGGGTTAAAAAAAATAAAATCCAAATACCCACATTAGGTCTGTTAGGAGAGTATAAAACCTAAATGTAATTTATTCCCACTAAGATGTTTAAACGTTTTAATGGTAAGGTATTAACAAAGGGCCACGTGGTGGAAGACACTCGGGCTGAGAGTGGAGGTGGGGGAATTGATAAGGGCCTGGCATACCTGTTTGAGTTTTTTTTTAAACCTACCAATAAGTTTAAGACAAATGTAAAGGAAAGATATAACTGGCTTAGGTGACATCCGGGAAAGAATGTGAACCCTGTAGTACTCAGCCAATGAGAAACCAGGGGAGGGACTCCTGCACTAACAAATAAATTATTGGCACCAAACTCCCCAGGTGTGCCTGCTCACCAAACACCTGATCTTGCAAGACCATCATTAAAGCCTTGCTCTGTTGTTCTCTTTACCTCCGTGTACACTTACTGAATTTGGACCAGTGAGTGTGCTTCTCACAGGTCACACTAAAAGAAGTAAGAAATATGAGAGTATATCTTTTCTTTGAGGCTGAGATTAGAACTGTACCGATTATAACTATATTCTTAATAATTTGAAATTAGTAGTTTATTGGCTGGATTCAATAACTTAAAAAAAATTAAAAACATTAATATATTTCATTATAAAACTAATTCTATCATCTTATCATCATAAAAAATGAATCAATTAATTCAACATAACCTATTAGCATTATTTGTAAACCATGTGTTTAATCCAATCTGAGCTGATTGTGGAAGGACTTCAGAACACATTATTACTGTGTAAAAAACAATATTTAAAATATACTTTTCAAATAATGTTTGCATTTTCTCCCTTTTAAAAACCTAAGATATTCTACCTGGTTAAAAACAACAAAAATAACTTTAAACCAAGCAACAAATATTTGGACATTTTCTTGATTCTATGAACTGAAATGCAGTGACTATGGAAAAATTTAAATGGACTGGTTTTCTTTGTAAAATTTGAGCATTTAATCAAAATATTTATTTTACAAGACCAATTTTATAATATTTTTTGTGTAACATAGACTAAACATACTTTTGAATGACATACTTAGATGATATACTTTCATATACAATAAAACTAAGAGTAATAACTGCAGATAGTTGTTACTAATTTAATAGTGAAGACATAAAGCATCCAAATCAAAGGTAAACAAGGGAAGAATTATAAGTGTTAGTGCAGAACTTAAGAAACTTAATAATTTAAAACAACCTCTCAGATTTTTTAGCATTAAATTAATTGTCCTAATATATTACTTTTTACTTCTAGGCAGCTAGATAACGCAAGTCAGGGCACATAAAGAGAATCCAATAACTGGAGGTGTTCTATGTAAGACTGTTGTAATGCCTAACTGCATCATGGTATCAAAAGTTGGACTTTATTAATGACAACCAAATACATGTTATTCAAATAATGCCATGTTGTTAAGTTTTATATTCATCACACACACATAAAATACATTACATAAATGAACACTAACTTTTCTCCATTGCCCCAGGCAAACAAGGTCCCATCCTTACTAAAGGTATAGACTTTGCAATTTTTTCCAGATTCTCTGAAAATGACAAGAAAAAAAGTTTAAATTAATAAGCATTAATACTTTTCAAAAAATCTAATTACAAATCCATATTTTACTAATTTAATGACTATGAACCTACATAAATTTTAAAAGTAATTCCAAAATGCTTTTTGTCTACCAAAATACTTTCTCTCTTAAAATGCAGTGCCAACAACCACAGTAAAGTAAGTTGAAAGTTGACTTTATACAACAGAACAATGTTGAGGAAAAACATAGAGCCCTTTTGGGGGAATAACTGTGTGAAAACCCCAAAGTGTAAGTGAATGTGCAGGTTTCCAGCTGTCAGCCCCAACATTGAGAGGGCTTGCATCTCTGGGGAAGCGAGTTCCCAGTGTGGCTGAAACCAGTCAAGGGAAAGGCTAGATTGGCAGAAACCCTTTTGCTGCTCACAGTGAGGCCTGGCTCCATCTGCTGCATGCTCTCTCCTTTCTACCCAGTCCCCACTAGCAAAAGCACTCTTGGTGCTCTCCGTCCCCTGCAGTCACGGTGTGGGTTTGCTTTCCCACCCACCCCTTCTGGGATGAACTCTGTGAGCAGGTCCCTGACACTGAAAGGCAACAGACCAATTACGCAGTGGAAGGGAGGAGAACAGCCTTTCTCCACTCCTTGCCCCAGAGGTTGTGAGAAGCTGCAGCGGTATATGTAAATGGACTAAGGTCAGACTACAAATTTTGTGCTTTACCCCACAGGGCTGAAGAATTTCAACATGGAGACTCTGTGAAGTATGCCCCAGACAACCTGCATAACAAAGCAAATGTGGATAGAATATCAAGTGGCTAACAAGTGCCCTGGATTTGAAAGACAAAAGACCTCCCACCAATTTTTTATGTGCAGAGACAGAAAGTATACCAACAGTAAGAGGATCATCACATTAAATAAATGTGAATACAAGATTCTGTACAAATCGGATAATTAGACTTGGCAATATTCTATCAAATGATCAACTTTTAAGTACTGTATGAAGATGGCTACTACTATAAGTACATCTTCCAGTGATAATGAGAACCCCAACAGAAATGTGCAGTGTGTAATGTCGATGTCTAAATTTGTCTATCTTAGATCATAACTTCATAGCTAGTAAATAATTGAATTATTAAATAACAACACACCAAAAACGGACCAGTACTCCACCCCCCCTTAAACCAGATACCTGGCATTAATTCATCTGAGCATGACATCTGTATTTCTACAATCACACAATAATGATAGCTCATACTCCATTTGTAGTTACCAAAACATTTTTTTCTCTCTCACATAAACAGCTATGACCAAGATGTGCACCATCCTATAATTGTGTAACTAATTTCTGAACCTTAAGGCAGAATTTTACAACCATTGTCATTAAATTCTGACCACATTTTGGCCTATTCCAGCCCAGGGAGCTCTATGTACATCTATTTTCTCTTGCAAAACCTTGATGATTACTTGCAAATTTATGTAACATAAAAATTGTAAACCATCGGTCTAAGCTATCATTTAAATTAATGATAACACTGAACGAACTCTGAACAAGATCTTGTGGCTTACCAACGCTCCTTCCCTCAATCTGAAATCAATTCATTAATCAGCTGACTTCACGGCTCTTAACCAACGTAAACTCTATCATTATGATTCAATGAAAAGATTTTCTCGTTTCTCAGATGCTTTGCTTAAATCATGTAGTTCTATTCTGATGTGTCTGGAATTTCTACTCAAAAAGGAAATGAGATAAGCTTGAAACGATTTGTTCTTAGCAACCTCATTTGACTCCAATAAAAAGCACCTTATTTTAATAACTATAAATTGTTCTTTTAAAATAACTCATTCTAGAATTGTGTTTAAGATTGAAGGCAAGCTTTCTAGATTATAGTATCCAGAATTCAATTATTTTCTTAATCTTGGCAATTGGGAAATTATTTATTTCTTTTTGGTACAATCTCTTAAATGAAAAATTTCAAATACATAAAAAAAAAGAGAAAAAATATAACCTACCTTTCACCAAACTTAAATAATTTAATTACTATTAATTTAATTTATCCCTTACTTTTTATATTTAATGTCAAATATTTTAAAGTAAAACCAGCTATTGTATCATATTATTCTATATTTCAGTATGCATCTCTAATTGATGAGGACAGTTTTTTAAAAACAATCACCACCACCCCACTTTACCTCATAAAATGAACTGTAACTCCTTACTATCATTTACTATTTAGTACCCAGTCCTTGGATATCTGGGTTTTTTAAAGCTCACCAGGTCATTCTAATGTTCAGCCAAATTTGAGAACCTCTCATCTCAAATCCTGATTAGAATTAGGATTTTTTTTTAACCTTCATAGAAGGCTAAGAACCATGTGGTTCCTATTGCAACTCCCCAGGAGACATGTAATGTCTCCTCGTTCTACTCTTAGTGACGGTGAGATGGTAGTGGACCCATTATGTGACTGTTCAGATTCACCTAACCCTTCCTTATCCCAGGTGTCAGCAGCTACTCAATGAAGAGACCTGGCCACCTCATCACCACCTTCCTTCTCCTATCACCACTGGTTGTCTCAGACTCTCCAGGAGTGAGGGCCACCATTTCAGGATAGCTTCCATTATGCCTACCGTAACAACAGGAAGAGGAGCTCTAGCACTTAAGATTCAACCCGAACCGACCAAAAGAACTGGTGGCAGATAAATTTCTTACCCTTCCTCTCCACAATAGATTGTTCCGAGGCACAGTGGTGATTCCACCTAGCCTCTCTGGAGACATTCTGCATGTCCAACTCACCTGGGGGCATTTTGTGAATTTGGGTCAGCTCAGCACCCCATATTAAATGTGCTTTCCCTTCCTCCTTGTCCCACTCCCCTTTTCCCCTCATACCTGGTGTCTTGGAACTGCACACCCCAATGAAGTGTAGCACAGAAGTTTTGACACAGACTCTTGTTTTCTACAGTAGTGCTTTTCAAATATTACATGTATACAAATCACCTGAGGATCTGGTTAAAACACAAATTCTGATTCAGTAAGCTGGGTAGGGCCTGAGATGTTAGTTTTGCACTGCCTCCAGATGATGCTGGTATGGCTGGTCCTTGGCCCATACTTCTGCAATACAGTTCTAGAGAACTGGGTCTAATAAAAAACTGGTCAATAGATTCAGGTGATGTCAGCCTCATTATGAAGTTCACCATCAACAGTTTCAGCATTCTCTTGATGATCATTTGCCTAGATCAGGGGTCCAGACTTGAAATATTAGCGTTACCTGGGAACTTATTAAAAAGTCCAGTTCTTGAGCCCCACCCCAGATCTAATAAATCAGAAAATCTGGGGAGGGAGCAGCAATTTGTTTTAACAAGCTCTTCAGATGATTCTGACGCATGCTAAAGTTTGAGAACCAATGCTGCATGACTTCTTTGAGACTGCAAATGGTGATCATCATTACTTCTGCATTTATTAACTGGAGTTCTTCTATAAGGCAGTTTTCCTCATCAACAATTTGATTACTGTGAATAACAGTTTGTAGAGGAAAGGCAAGATAAATACTTGATTCCTTCTCTTGACTTATCAGTTTTCAAAGCAATGAGCAAGAACCCCATCAAACCCCAATGCTGACCAGTAAGATTTGGCTGAAGGGAGATTTCTTTTTAGGAGTGTTTTTATATATCTTAATTCTTTTAGCCATAATTCTTAATGTTCAAACTGCCCCATCTCAGGTTGGTACAAACTACTTCAAGTTGACTTCTGTTGTCCTTTAACCAATCCCCAGTAGTCTTTTATAGATTTCTTGCTTTTTGGCACTAGATGTCTCTAGCTCAGCTAGTACATTTTCTGTCCTAGATCTAAAATCAGCCACTTCTCCAAGGAACTGGTTCCTTTTAGTGAAGAATTGTGTTTAGAGATCACACTCTGTGCAGAGGTATTCACTGCTAGCAGGTTATCATTGCTTCTAGACTTTCCAGCAGACAGAATTAGGGAATACAAATGCTTTTATGAAAAGAAATCATGAGTTCATATTGATATATGCAAGTCTACTCTTTCACTCTTATGCTGAAAAATCTTACTTTCTAATGATGTTAATTATTTGTTTTATCCTACAATAGATTTAAAATGACAATATAAATTTTCTGTTAACAATAAAACTGCTGAATGCATTTAAGAGTTTTGCAGGTAATCATTAGTTATGCCACCAATGTAAAATAAAGCTAGCTCCATTTGCTTGTTTTCAATATTTTTAAGGTTTATAACAATTACATGGTCCAGAGTCAAAATTATATATACCAAAGTTCATTCACAGACACATATGTCCCTTACATCCTGTAACTCTCTCTTCCCCTATAGGTAATTATTTTAATTAGTTTTTGGTTTACCCTTTATTTCTTTTAGGGAAAAAAATATCTATTATTTTCCTAGCAATATATTATATTATATATATATATATATATGTATGTATATTTAATTTTTTCACATTTCCTTCCTTTCTTACACCTTTTTCATTCTCTGATTTCATGAAGCTGACAGGCACTGGCTTGGCTATCACGTTTGCAGGTTTTTCCTTATTCCCTAAGATAAAATTCTTCTAAGCTAGAGGCTTGAACTCATTAGACTACTGTCTACACTTTTTCTTTTAAACATACTAAAGCTATTATTTTCAAATCTAAAGATCATTTTTTTATAGAGGATGTACCTTTTGTCTTTTGTTAATACATGTATGTCTCAAAAAACTAGCTTATTTTTTCTTTTTCTTTGTTCAGAATAGAACAATGACAAAAACAATTTAGGATGTATTGCATAATTCCCTATAATATCACTCAAGATAAAAACCATACCTTGGAAACACTGTGCTCTCTGTAAAATGTGGTGGTCCATTCACCATGTGCAGTCCTTCTGATCCTCGGACTAAAGAAACAAACGGAAAGAACCACCATTAGTTTGTTGATAAATACTCAATTATCACTAGTGTTTCAAAAACAAAAAGCTTTCAGTCAAAATATTAATGAAATCATTAAACACTTCATAGAACTATACATTAGCATTAAAAGGGCAAATTTTTCTTACCCTAGTGCATTCATCATGTAACTGCTGAGAAATAAATAAGTAATGCAATACACTGAGTGTCTGTGTCTCCCCGAAACCCTCATGTTGAAATTCAAATCCCACTTTCCTCCCAATGTCTGGTGGTATTTGGAGGTGGGACCTTTGGAAATAAGTAGATCATGAAGGTAGAGCCCTCATGAATGGGACTGGTACCCTTATAAGAAGAGCTAGCTAGCCAGCACTCTCTCAGCCATATGGGGATACAATAACAAGTTGGTAGTCTGCCACCCAGAAGTGCCCTCACCAGAACCAAGCATGCTGGCTCAGATGTCCAGCCTCTAAAACTGAAGCAAATTTCTGTTGTTTAAATTTACTCAGCTGTGGTCTTTGTTATAGAGCTTAAACTAAGACAGGTAATATCACTCTTATGTCTTCTCCTATAAAACATATTCATTTAGTTTCTAAAGAGACTACTTCAATCCATTTTAATGTAATTTACAAGAAATCTGTGCATGTACACTCAAATACAACATTCATACTATTATATTCCTTCATTCAAAGGGAAAAAAGTGATCTTAGTATTAAGTTTTCACATTATTTTCTAATCTCATTTTCAAAATGTATGGATGTTGGAAACAGAAGCTGAGTCTAAGTTCAATCTTTTGGTAGCCACTTACTGTCTCAAGTAACTTTTATAAATAAAAACTCAAAATTTTAACTGTCCCCAGTAAAAGGCAGTTACAGTAGAAAGGACTTGAACTCAAAGGTGGATTTTGGTTTGGATGTGGCTGTGGAACCTTGGATCTGTCACCACCTGTGTGAATCTGTGCCCTAATATGCAAAATAGAACTACTAGAACACAGGGTGGCTGTGTGCTCTATGTAAAATAACAATATGAAAATACTGCCTATATTCAAAGTTCTTAAAAACATAAGGCATTACTAATATATTTAGTTTCTCAAACTATGAGAGCCAGTGGAATAAGACACATTCATTTATTAAGTCCCCAATGATAGATAATGAAATTCTAAAAAATTAAGTGTGAATAAAATAAAGTTCAAGATTAAATAGGCAAAAATATCTGTAGAACTAGATTACACTTTTTTAAATGGCTGTGTTATAAGCTTCTAAAGAGAAACCAAATAAATTGGCTCATTCATTCAACAAATGTTTACTGAGGAAAAGCCTCCCAGACCCTATGCTGAATATTGGAGATACAACAGGGAGGAATATCAGCCTTGTCCCTGACCTCATTAAGGAAAGATATGGAGCTAGAGAGTGAATAATCAGTTTTGATTTAAAAATGGAAGGCTGGGGAAGGTATCCTTGAGAACATGATTTTTGTGCAAAATCTAAAGGCTGAATCGCAGTTAACAAGCAAGGAGACACTAACAAGTGCAAAACCTCCATGGCAAGAGATAATGGAACATTAGAAGGATGGAAAGAAGGCCTGCATGACTGTAAGGAGATTGAGCTGGAGAAGAAAGCACGCTCAAACCAAGCAGGATCTTGGGGCCTAGGTTAGGCAATGTTGGCCTGTGGCCTAAGAATAGAGGGAAACTACAAAGTTTTAAAAAAAGACTTGCATTTTGAAAAGGTCAATCTGGTACAGTATAGAGAATGAACAGGAAGAGAGTAAGACTGGACAAGAAGAGACCATTTAAGAAGGCTCTGCAGTAGTCCCACAGGAGAGACTATGGAAACTTGGACTACGATGGGGCAGTGGAAATGAAAAGTAGAAAATGAGTGTTCAAGGTTTAGGATAAAACTGACAGGACTGGTGGTGAGTTACTCTTATTACCTAGAATTCTTGCTAGCACGATGGTCTAGGCGCTGAAGAGAAGAAAATGTCTTACTAGGCCCACGGTACAATAATATCTGCCTCCTTATCTGCAAGCTATTCACAAATCCTCCACTTCTCTTGGTTACTGGGAAACAGCAAAGTTGGTAGATAGGGGCCATTCTTGGCTCCAACTCTGATCCCTATTTTTTTCTCTTCTCAAGAGACAGCTCTCAGAACACTGATTTTCTACCTGAGAATTAACTAGCTCAATTTTCAGATGTTAAAAGTAATATGATTTACAGTCCAAGATAAATAATTCAAAGTTAGAACGAAGAACCATTGATGAACAAGATAACCACACCCTCATGGAGCTTCTATTCTAGTGGAGAGATGGAAAATAAGTAAACATAATTGAATGAATTTTTTTCAAGTATACAACCATATACCATGTTTCCTTTGAGCTGCTGAACTACTGTGGGTAGTTTGCACTTGAATAGAATGGAGCCTAGAAAAATTTTCTGCATACATCAAAATCTAAACTTCTTACGCCATAGCTGACAAGGCTCTATGTGCTAGGCCTTAGGGATTTAAAACATAAACCCATTACAGCACTTAAGATAATGATTTAAAAGCAGCTCAGTCTACTGCTATACCTTGAACGAAACACTCAAGGTATTTACTCTAAAAATCTCTGATGACATTTACAAACATTTTCAGCCAGAAAGTGTATATATTTTTTCTGAATATATATGAATGGGATTAGTGCCCTTATAAGAGGCCCCAGACAGATCTCTCATATATATATATGTATTGTGTGTATATATATGTATATACATGTATATACATTTTTCCCCGACAGTAAATGTTTCCTTAGAAGATTTTAAAAATATGAAGCTTAATTCTTTAGCATCAAAATTTTTAATCTCCTCTCAGCCTTTCACTAAGATTAAGTGTAGCATCAAAATTCTCTTACTACACCAGCAAAATAGTGTTTATTTCTCAAATTGGCCATCTGCTGCAATCTCAGGTATGAAATATTATGATTTAGAAAAGAATATGTCATTCTTAATACAATAATTAAGGTTTTAACATTTGCTTGAGGGATTAATAAAAAATGAATTTCCCAAACTAGTGGCCCTCTCTACTTTGATTCTAGGTTACATAAAATTTTGTCAGCCTAATTAAGTCCTCTCCCACAAGCTGCAGTGGCAATTTAACACATTAAGAGCTCTCTTTCAGAATTCACATAGAGGCCTAGGAAAAAAAATTTGCATATCATCAGTGTAGTCCCAATGAACCTGCTGTGAAATTAGACAATGTGCCACATGATGATACAATCAAACCATGTTCTACTGCCTTAACCCCTGGCCCCAAGAACATGTACCTGGGTGCTTGGCAAAAAAAGAAAAAGAAAAATGCTTCCTCTAGCTCATCTCAGCTTCTTGTGTTCTCATGACACTTGAAACTACAGAGACCTTAGTCCTCTATATTTGTTAACTTTGCTGTTATCACTGACCACAATGCTTACTTGGGGAAAATTTAAAGTTTTTGTACATTATACTAAAATGTAGCTGTACCTCAGAAGGTAGCCTTCTGACTACAGCAGCAAAAACTTTCAGGGTATTCAGGGCAATAGTACAAGGTTTTTCTTTTCTAAAATTTCTATTTCATACCTACATCCTAAACTGAAATAGATGGAAGACACCAAAGGAGTTGCTAGGTTGAATGCTTGTCTACCCCCCAACCCCCACACATACGAATTCATATATTGGAACTTAATCCCTAAGGTATTGGTGTTTGAAGGTGGGGCCGTTGGGACGTAATTAGGTCATGAGGATGGACCCCTTATGGATGGGATAGTGTCCTTGGAAAAGACACCTCAGAGATAAATCCCTTGCTCCTTCTGCTATGTGGGGGTGCAGTGGAGGTTGTCTCTCTGAATCAGGAGGCAGGCAGTCTTCCAGTGCCATGATCTGTGTCCTCTAGCCTCCAGGACTGTGAGAAGTCAATTTTAGTTGTTTATAAACCACCCAGTCTATGGTAATTTTGTTACAGGAGTCCAGATGGACTAAGACAAGAGTGGGGGTAAGGGGGAAACACACCCTTTTCATGCAGATTATTAACCCAAAATCTTAGAAGGCAACACTTGACAGAAAAGCCAGTGTGGAAAGCTTTAAGTCTTTCCTGCTCAGGTGGCATTCAGCATTACATGGTTTTCAATTCCTGATTTTAGGATGTTTCTGGAGAAACAAAAATGTTAAGTCAAACTAATAAACTACTTTTCAACATGCACACATTCACATTCTGAATAACAGAACACTTTTAAAACAAAAATCCAAAGGTTACAGAACCTATAATTCCATTTATATCACACTTCTGAAATGACAAAATTATCATGATAAAGGACACATCAGTGGTTGCCAAAGGTTAGAGCTGAAACGAGGGGTCTGGCTAAGGGTAACATCTCCGTTGTGGTGATGGAGCAGTTTTATATTCTGACAGTGGTAGTTACATGAATTTACATGTGATAAAATTCCTTAATACCATATACACACACACACAAAGTGGTGAAATCCAAATAAGGACTGTAGCTTAGTAAATACAACTATACCCATGTCAGTGTCCTGGTCTTGATAATGTACTATAATTATATAAGATAATATCAGAGGGGAAAGCCATGTGAAGGGTACATGGGAAGTTTCTTTGTCTTTCTTTCCTTTTTTGCCTCTTAGCTACTTGACTTTATTTTTACTTTAACTTATTTTATTGAAGTATTGTTGATCAAGGCAACTCTACTGTTTTTGCAACTTCTTTTAAGTCTTAAATTATATCAAATTAAAATAATTTTTTTAAAAAGCCCATCATTGGAGCTGGAGAGTATTATGCTCAGTGAAATAAGCCAAGCGGAGAAAGAGAAATACCAAATGATTTCACTCATCTGAGGAGTATAAGAACAAAGGAAAAACTGAAGGAACAAAACAGCAGCGGAATTACAGAATCCAAAAATGGACTAACAGGTACCA